GAATGAATCAACAAAAAAGGAAAATCAACCTTAGTATCATTTGATTTGTAAGTGTGTCTATGACTCTTAGCCAAAAAACATGTCTCACAATTTAAGACTTTATTTGTTGGGAATCATTCAGGAAATAAATGATGCAAGTATCCACTGGATGAGTGTCCCAATCTTCGGTGCCATAACCAAGCCTCCCTATCTATAGATCCATGAGCTAGCATTATAGTACCTTGTCGAGTCACTTCATCCACATAGTATAGTCCTTGTTGCTCAGTACCACGCCCAATGATCTTCCCCGTCCTGATGTCCTATAAGATACAGAAGGTTGGATGCATTAGAACAACACAATTTAATTCTTTGGTAACATGACTGATCGATAGCAATTTATGAGATAAGGATGGAACATAGAGACAATTTTTTAATTTCATGTTTGGTGAAATTTGAATGGTCCCTCCTCCTTTGACTTGGAGAACTTCTCCATTTGCAGTATGAATTCTTGATTTTTGTGGTTTTGACATTGAGCACATGTTAGAAATTTCAAAAGTCATTGTATCAGTAGCACCACAATCAAATATCCATGAGTCTTTATTATTTTTTTTATTTTTTGTTGCCATGTTAACTTCCCCAACGTTAAAAGAATTTGTTGACCTGACTGTCATATTGGAACTATAGGGCTGTGAATGAAAATGTTGAGAGAGTGAAGGGTTTGAGGTGTAATTCTCAAACCCTATACCTGCGATGCCCCCTGGTTCTTCTTCTTTAATTGCCGCAAAACAACAATTCCCGCCATGGTTTCCTTTTTTGGTGCTCTCTTGATTTCCGGCGGGTTTTGAGTGGTCACCGCTGCTGGTGGTCCCTTGATTGCCCATGGCGACTGCGGCTTTGCCATCTCTCCCTTTTTTGTGTCTGTCGGGCCACCATTCCGGGTATCCCATGAGTTAAAACACTGTTCTTTCGTATGCTTGGTCATGCCACAATGCTCGCATTTCAATCTACTTTTATCAACCCGGGATGATGACGGATTGGATTTCTGGTCTGACCGGCGACCTTTGGAAACGAGCCCTAACCCATCGGAATAACCTGTTGAGTTCAGACCCGACGCCACCCCTTGTTGTATGTTCCCGAAAATACTTTGATGTGCTGTTTCTTTTCGGACAGCAGCATAGGCGGCTTCAGCAGACGGCAAGGGGTCCCACCGGAGGATCTCTCTTTTAGGGGAATCATACTTTCGATCAAGGGCATTGAGAAATTGAAACAATTTGTTTTCTGACCTGACTTTGTTGTAAGTGGAAATGTCGGTAGAACACGTCATTGGGTTTGGATCTCGCCGTTCAATTTCTCCCCAGATACCCTGCATCACGATCCAAAATTCTTCTAACGGTACACCATTTTGCTTGAACTCGTTTGCTTTAACGTGGAGATCAAAAGTCTGAAGTTTGTCCTTGCCGTTGCTATACGTAACCGTAAGAGCATCCCATAGCGTTTTCGCTGTCGGGAACTCTGTTAAGTTACTAGCAAGGACCGACTCGATATTTTGGATGAGCCATGAAAAAACGATCAAATCATCTTGTTCTTACTGATCATCACTGGGTTCTGGCGGGTTTTGGGTGAGATGGTTTAAAAGAGTTTTCGATTTCCCCCTATGGCGACTCGTATCATCCGAGCCCATAGAGGGTAGTTTTGGCTAGTAAGATTGAGGCTAATTTTTAGGCTATCAGAGGGATTTGGTTTTGGGTTCTGGGTTTGAATTTAAACTCCATTTTTGAGGAGATTGGCTATTTGGATGGCTAGGTTATTGTTATCTTCTTCTGACATTGCTTCTGGTTCTGGTAGATGATGAGCACAAATGGTTTTTGGATCATAAACACCGCTCTAATACCATGTTAACCATGATGATCAGAGGAATGGAAGAGAAAGTAGAATAACTTTTATATTTCTTATATGTATGAATAAGCCCACGTACTGAATATATAGTCTATACAAAAAACTAAATAAGGAAAATACAATAAATTGCATTGAAAAGAATGGCTGGCAATTAGCTAGGACTAGAAGTAAGGCTTGAAAGATGTTGGTCTTGATTTCAAAGGTCAATGCTCTATTTTGGGAGATGATAGAGTATTTTAATCAAATATTTCAACATCCATAACACCACTTGTCCCTTCTGGGTAGACAAGATAATTCGCAACATCCAAATGTGCCATTTTTTGGTTGATATTCGAGAAAATCATTTTGAATAAATTTGTTTCGATATCTTTCTTTTCTTTAGTTTTAGAGAAGCTTGATAAAGATCAACAAAATGCTTTGGAGAGCGGCATGTACAAGACCAACGACTGGTCATTCCACATCGGTGACAAATATTTTTAACTTTCTTTTTTCCTTGACAACTTTTATCTAGGATGTGAGTTTTTGTTATTTTCCAACTTCTGGTGGTTACTTATAATCATGTTATTTTTATGATAATTATGACAACCTCCATGACCTCGGTTATACCCATGACTATTATGATTATATGATGTTGCATTCACTATAGGGAATGGCCTAGAACCGATCGAGACTGATTGGTGATTTTTCATTAATAACTCATTGTTTTGTTTAGCCACAAGAAGGCATGAGATTAATTCATATTTATTTTAAACCTTTCTCATGATATTGCTACTGTAGGAGCATGTTAGTAGCATGAAAAGTCGAGAAAGTTTTCTCTAGCATGGTCTTCAATAATGAAAATAGTAATCAAAATAAAGACTTGTATGCAGAGCCGACCCATGGGGAGTTCAACAAGTGCCCATGAACAGGGCCCACTAAATGATAGGGCCCACAATTTTTTAGTGTGTATAGCCTATCGTCAGTTTTAGCCCAAATCAAATTAGGTTTTACAATCACTAATAGCAGGGAGTGAGCGGGAAATCTGAAACTTGGGAAAAGAAAAAAAAACTCTTCGATTTCTTGTTTGCTGATTACGCTTACGCATGGGGAACAAGTTAATGATGTCTAGTGAATCGTCTCCAATCAACGGGCTTATTGTTTGTTTAGTATTAGACGATTTCATAGGCAAATAAGTTGCTTTCGGTTCTTACAATCCTACCAATTTCTTATTTCTTCCTGAAAATCAGTTTTGATTGTTGTATGTTTATAATCTCTCGGAAAAAAACTGAATCTTATAATCGTTCTAGTTTCTTCTCGAAAATCAAAATTTAGAAGCTCCAAAATTAATCCTGCTTGAGGATTCGAAATCAGAAGGTAAGGAATTTCTGATTTTTTTGTTTTTTCTGGTTCGTTTTTTATACATGTTCGATTTTTTAACTTTAAATTTGGTTTGTTTTTAAAGGTACAAGCAAATCAATTTCGAAAATCAGTTTCGAAAATCATAAGGAAAAGGAAATTAATTTCAGATTTTTGAAGGTACAATTATACAAGCAAATTAAAATCTGTTATTTTTCCTTTTAAGTTCGTTTTTTAATGTTATTTTTGATAAGTTTCTGATTTAGAAGAAGTAAATCAGTGTTTTTTCTTTATGATTCGCATCTTCTTGAATCTAGATGCATCGAACCAATGATCCTTTGACTGTCAATCAACTATTGGGGTTTACAAAATTTTGATTTTAGATTTTTTTGAAGTGTATTTCTGATTTCTGATTATTTTATTAGAAGCAAATCAGAGTTTTTTCCTGATAGTGTAACTTCTTGATTTTATTTCTGGATTTTTACAGTTTTATTACAAGAAAATAAAAGATTATTTTTTCCAGAATTGAATCAGGAACCAAAAAGCTACTTACAGATTTGCATATTGAAGTTCTACCTATGATCTATATCGACTCAAGAACGAATTATGGATTGGTTTTGATGAAGATTGAGAGAAAGCTATTGAAAAGTTTATTTAAAGAATTATTAGAATGAATATTACAAGGGTAATTATTTTTAAGTGGAAGAAAATATCTTTTTTGTATATTATTTGAATGAACTTGTATTGTATCCATTTTGCAATTGAATACAAAAAATTTATAATTTTTTTGCTTAAATTTTAGGTCATTCATGTTTTGGGGCCTATTTTTTGTTAAATTGCACAGGGCCTCCTTAATCTCGCGGCCGGCCCTGCTTGTATGTTAAGGAAGTGTTAGTTAAGAAATTCCATAAAATAAGTTGTAAGCATTATACATGTAAACTTATAAAAAATACATACCTGAAAATGACAAGAACAATATGGAGTTAGAGCTCTATGGTAGAGTTGTGCTGATAACGTGTTATGAAATATGATCAAATAACGAGATAAATTATAAAATAAGAAAGATATGAGAGTGGAGAGAACTTTTATTTCAATACTTGTGATGAAATCATCAACTTTCTGATACATATGACTCACTATTTATACAACTAAAATAAGATGAAAGATGAATGCACATTATGATGGTGCATTATTACACTCATAAACATATTGAAATGGTTGTTACTAATGCTAAACAATGATAGAGAGTTATGAGACAAATGAGAAATCCAATGGTCATTCACAAACTAATATTTCATAACATTGATTATTTGTTTTTTAAAAAGCAATTGCGGAGTAAGTAGAAAAAAAGTGTTTGTATAATCAATAAGCAATTATAAAAACTATTTTTCACAATTTCTAAATAAGACATTTTTGAAAAGTTAAATTTTTTGAACTTATTTACTTATAACTTAAAACATTTTGTATGGAAGAAACCTAGAAAAACAAATAACCAATCCAAACATTTTTTTAATTTATAATCTTTTTAACCATATAAACAAATAAATAATCCAAAAAATTGTTTTAAAAAGAATTTTTATACTTATCAAATATCTTTTGAATATTTTTTATTGTTTAAAAAAATTAAAAGTACAAAAGTCATTATTTTTTTTATGTATGGAAAGATAGAAATAAAAATAATGCCCAAAAACCCTCTTAAAAAGATTCTGTTACAAGTGGTGGACTGTTCCTACTTGTAATAAATATTTTTTATGAAAAAAAATATTTTTAGTTAAATAAACAAATCCCAAACATTAAACTCGCAAGATCCACCGAACCAGATCGATAGCAATATCCAAGTTACTGAGGTTGAAACTTGAAAGCCATAGAATCCAACAATCAAAAGAGAAAGTGAAAGAACACTCGGCCTAAATTACTAATGTTGCCGTTTATGTTGGAAGTTGTTGGTTATATGACTCGGGAATTTTTTTAGGTAAGGAAGAACCCTAGAAAGAGAAAATGCTTGGCGAGGAAGCCAGGGTGTTGCTAGGCTTTCTACCCAATTCCACACCTTCATCGTCACAGGTACTAATTTGCCAACACCAACAGCCTAACAGGCTCATCTTATCAAACGATTCACCTTTTAATGTCATTTTAGGTCAAAGCAGCTTACAAGAAAAAGGCATGGGAAACTCATCCAGATCGTTTCCCCGTTTCCCAAAGATCTCTCGCTGAATCCAATTTCAAACAGGTATATAACACCGCCACTATATTACTGCATTCAATCACTGCCTGCGGCTGACTTTTTTGATAAAAACTTTTGGCAGATTTCCGAAGCTTACACATGCTTACAGTCTGGTAAGTTGATTATCTTATCTCTGCATATATCCTTAGTCATTTTTACAGAAGTAGGTGACATGTACGTGATCGATCATTGCGGTACAGAGACATAGTAACATGGAGTCCCATCTTGATCCCAACCCTGGGATAAGAATTCACATGTGGATCGATAAAAAAAACGAACATGTTTATTTCATCTAATAGACTTGATACTGTTTGATAATCAATCATGTGGGTTGAAAACCCTCACATCGATGAGTTTGGTCAGTTTTCTCGCACATTGTGTGACTACATAGTTTATGAGGAAAATTGTTGTTGGGTTGAGTGGGAATTAGCCTTGTAGAAGCCAAATGAATGCATTCCTCTCTTGTGGTCTAGCTAGGATATCAAAACCCAAATGCATGTGAATACCTGACCTAGTGGTGGTGTTGTGTTAGTGCTCCAATCTATTCATTAACAAGTGCTGACTCTTGTGTTGGCCTTGGTTACAGGCATGAGAAGAGAAGTTTCAGCTGCAGGTAATTCTCACTTTTTGTTTTTTGAGTTAGCTTGTTATCTGATAATCCTTGGCATTAATGGGTGGTGAGAACCACAGGCACATATTCATGGGTGGTGAGAACCGGAGTCCCAAGGGCACATGGAGGAAGTAGAAACCATGCATTGATTGGAATCCCTTTCCTATTAATTGTTTTAGGAACAGTTACTCTTGGTGGATCCAGTGGCGCTAGGTCAGAATTACTCCTATACTATACCTTTCTCAATGTTTAAACTCATAAGTAAAAACCCATCTTTGCTTATCTTCTCTATCAGGGCTTACCGAAGGCAGAAAGAGGCATACCCCTCACATAACCCTTTTCTTCCTTGACAGGCATCATATCTTATAATCCTGTACCTCACATTCATTTGGTCATAAATAAATGCTCCAATTAAGTGTTTAATCAATGTAAAGTAGAGGCCTCTCACTTTGATACATATAATGTTCTAGGAAAATAGTAAGTTGAAATATATATATATATATATATATATATATATACACACACACACACACACACACACACACACACACACACACACACACACACACACTAGCGTTTATCCGCGCCAAGCGACGGGTGGCAAATAGTCTCTTTCCGAAATTAGTTTCTAGAGACGTTTAGGGTGCGTTTGGTTGTGGAAAATTTTCCAAGAAAAACGGAAATTTTGAAAACGCGTTTGTTCGTTTAGTTTTCTAAAATTTTCATTTTCAGTTTTCTAAATTGTATGTAAATTAGAAAAATGATTTTTACAGTTTTCCAAAGTTTTTCAAATTTCTAAGATGGAAAATGAAAACTCCCCCGGTTTCAACCAAACACATTTTCTAAAATTTTCATTGAAAATTGAAAGCGAAAACTCAACTCTATTTTTTGAAAACATTTTCTTAGAAAATGAAAACAGTTTTCCACAACCAAATGCACCCTTAGGTTGCGTTTAGTTACGGAAAACCAGTTTTCATTTTCCGTTTTCTGTTTTCTCTTTTTAGTTTTCGTTTTTCATTTTCAGTTTTCATTGCAAAATTTAGAAAACGCGTTTAGTTAAATCTTATTCATTTTTCATTTTCAGTTTTGGAAAATTAAAAAACATGTTTAGATGTGTATTTTTCTATTGGTTTTCATTTTTAGAAAATGGTATTGGTGGTAAGGTGGGGGTGGGGCGGTGGTGGTGTCGATGATGGCGATGGTGTTGATGACAATCGGTGGTGGTGGCGGCGACAATTGTGGCAGTGGTGGTGATGGCGACGACAGTGGTGGTGATGGCGACGGCAGTGATGTTGGTGCCGGTGATGGGGTAGTCGTGGTGATGATGGTGATGGTAAGGTCGGTGATTTTGGTAGTGGTGTTGGGTGTGTGTGTGTGTGTGTGTGTGTGTTTGTTTGTGGAGGTGGGTGTGTGGGTTGGGGGTGTTTAGTGAGGATAGGTAGAGGTAGGTGGGGTCGGAGTGAGTGTGTGTTTATATTTTAGAAAAATTTTGGAATTAGAAAAATGTGGAAAACAATGATTATCGGTTTTCCAAAAATTTACAACTTCTTTGTAATTTTAGAAAATGGATAATTTTCATTTTCCATTAAAAATTTAGAAAAATAGACGAACTCAACGCGTTTTCAAAATTCTCATTTTTCTTGAAATTTTTTTTCCGGAAAACGGTCCATTTTTCCGCAGCTAAACGCAATCTTAGTTACTCAATTAAACGATTCGTTCTTCTTTTACGATCAATGTATTCTTTATTGTATTTGTCGTTTTTGTGTGTGTTGGATGTGTTTTGGTTAGCTTTTTTTTATCAAAAAAATGTTTTTTCGGAAAAGTGTTTATTGGTTTATGGCTTTTTGGAAAACCAGTTTTTAAAAAGTGTTTGGGTTAACTTTTTTGTAGGAAAAACTGAAAAGCCAATAAGTTGGTTTTAAAAAGTGTTTTGGTTAGCTTTTGTAGTAGGAAAAACTGAAAAGCTAATTAGTTGGTTTTAAAAAGTGTTTTGACTTAACTTTTTAGGAGTAAAAAACTAAGTTTCTAAAAAGTGCTTTTAGGAAAAGCCGAAAAGCAAGGATTTTCTAGCTTTTAGACAGCTCCATATTTTGCCTATATAAAAAGCTTCAAAAAGGTATTTCAAAAGCTATTTTTTAATACCCAAATATTTTTTAGCTTATTAGGGTGCATTTAGTTGCGGAAAAATGAGCTGTTTTTCGGAAAAATTTTCCAAGAAAAATGAGAATTTTGAAAACGCGTTTAGTTCGTCTATTTTTTCTAAAATTTTCACGGAAAATAAGAATTTTCCGTTTTCTAAAATTACAAAGAAGTTGGAAATTTTTGGAAAACCGATAAGCATTGTTTTCCATATTTTTCTAATTCCAAATTTTTTCTAAAATATAAACACACACTGACTCCCACTCCATCCACCTCTACTTACCCTCGCCTTAACACCCCCAACCCACCACACCCCTACCTACCCACACTCACTCCCAAGCCCACCCCCACCCCCACAAGCACACACACTCACCCCCACAACACACCACCACCCCCCCCCCCCTAATACACACACACCAACCCCTACAAACACACACCCCTACCCATACCCACACCCACCTCACCCCCCCACACCCAACATCACTACCACAATCACCGACCTACCACCACCACTAGCCCATCACCAGCACCATCGCCGTCATCACCACCAGTGCCACAATTGCCGCCACCACCACCGCCGCAACCTTGTCGCCACCGCCACCGCCACTGCCACTGCCATCGTCGATACCACCACTACCCCCGCCGTTGCCCCCACCACCGCCACCGTCCCCACGTCCACCCTACCACCGCTACCATTTTCTATAAATGAAAACCAATAGAAATATACACATCTAAACACGTTTTCTAATTTTCTAAAACTGAAAATGAAAAATGAATAAGTTTTAACTAAACGCGTTTTCTAAATTTTCCAATGAAACACGGGAAACGAAAACTGAAAAGGGAAAACGAAAAACGGAAAATGAAAACTGTTTTTCCGTAACTAAACGCATCCTTAGCTTTTCAAAAATAGGTATTGTACGAGTGTTAGGTTTGTCCATCCTAGTACTACCCTCCCCCAAGTACGCTTTACTGGGGAGTTCTAATGGGATCTGGTGCATTAGTGTTGGTATGATCGCACCCTATAGGTCTACGAAAAGGCATTTTTCTACCATACGGTTTTTGAAAGTGAGACGGTGGTAAGCCCTTAGTAGTGGCTATAAGTCGAGTGTTATTTAAACTAAGTTATCTTAGTTTCCAAGTGTATCATGTTCCGACTTTTATAGTGTTTTGAAATCAATTCACAACAGAGGTTTATACAAAATAAACTTATGAATTTTTAACGACTACCCTTGAATGAATACTTGTGACTTGATGTACTGTTGCTAGTTGTTACGAAAGACGAGATAAACCTAACACATAGTGTGAGTAGTGTAATCACTAACTCAGTAGGTTATATTTATTTATTAGTTATTAGTGTGACGTATATAGTGCTTGGTCTCTTCGCGTGTCTAGTAAGTGGTTTCCTCTGTTCTCTGTCCCTGTTATGATTGCCCTAGTTTCAGCTATAGGATTTGTTGTCTCTGGGCATCCCTATGGTGTTCTTGTTCTCCTTAGGTGTGTTGAATCTTTGCTCCATCCTGCTTCGGGCCTTGTTACTGATCTCCATTACTTCACAATGGACAGTCTGACCCGAATGTCCGAGCGAGCCTCTTATGTCTGCTCTCGCTAGGGTAAGATTCAGTAATGATCACTCTGGTGCTTTTCCTTTCGGTTGATCCCTTCTCGGAATCTTCCTCATGAACCTCTTCTCGTTCCTCCTGGGTCCCTCTGCTGACTGATGTAGGGGAGTGGTTATATTTATCTATGTTGGTCGTGCGAGAATGAGAGTGTCTAAAGAATCTATGAGATTAAATAAAACATTTTATCTTATGGGGGATCCTTACCGAGTCTTTCTATAATCACGCAGTTGTATAAGTTGTATATAACTTAAGATTAAATAGACCTTCGAATAAGTGACCCTACTCTAAAACCACAACCAAACAAGGAACATGGAGTAGAGCATAGGTCACAAATTCTAAGTCTATAAATTCTCAATTATACACAATTTTGGGAGTATACACTTCGCAATTATAGACCTACCCGTAAGGGCCTTTAATTTCTCACGTATGTTGTTTATAGTGCCTAAAATACTCCTATATTATTTTAACTTTATGTTTTGTTCTAGATACTCTTTATATATGGGGTTGGTAAGTTTTTAGGCTTGTTGCAACACCACGACCATTCCTAGGCATATGCTAATCACCTCTCGGTTAAATATAGTTGATCAGACTATATTCTCCCGAGACTTGATTATATATCTCTAGACCTACTCGTGCTGTTCAACATCCTAAATACTTGTGTATTGTACTTCTTGTGATACTTGTTCTAGTATAGATATATACATGTATGTATACTGTTATAAGAATACTTATATTTTTAAAAGTATACTTTTAGTCAGAGCACTTCGGCCCCATTGTATTTATAGTTGTATATCTTTAATGGGTTGATATACTTAGTTCACTATAAACAATGCTCTGATACCAATCTGTCACACCCCCAAACCGGAACGGCGGAAACGTTCGGGGGCGGAGGACGTCATGTATAGTATCACAACAATTGAATAATAGTAATCAAAGCAACAACAACCATTGTATTAAAAGTATAAATGTTTACATTGTATTTGAATCATGTATAACTGACTCCAAAAAGTAAATAGCAAGTAAAGACTTGAAGATACTATGCTCTATCTTCTAGAATCGGGTGCGTGTACCTGTCTACTAGTGTCCTGAGAATACAAGTAGGTTTTGAAAGAGTATCAGCATTAAAGCTGGTGAGTTCATAAGCGTTTATTTTAGAAAACAAGTTCTTTGTTCTTTGTAAAACGTGGTGTGTTTCTCCAGAAAATCCTATATATCATGATGTGATAAATGATAAGTAAAATGGTTCGTACCAGTTCCTTCTACGAGTACTTAGTGTATACAAGTCATATACAATCTAGATCGAACAAACAATCGATTGTGTGGTTCTGCCCCAAGCCCACAACCAAACAAGGAACAAGAAATGAGGCGGAGGCCACACATCCCACTGGCTGTCGGATCCTCATGTTTATAACCCGGACGTATTCACTAGGTCCTTACAGAGTTAACTGTATTAGTCCTTTAAAATCTGTTGAAAGTGTTCCTTAAGAAAATCTTATAATTTCTGCAAAGGTGTTTTGAGTATTTTTTTTGTTGTATAAAAAAACAAATGGTTTTAGACACATAAAAAATATATAATAAAAATAATAATTTATTTAATCATAACTGCAAAGAAAAATGTATATATAATAATTAATGTGATGAGCAAAAATATACATATCAACTTTTAAATTTATAAACCTAACTAACTTAACTAACTAATACTTCTATAGGCAGTGTACATGGTCGGATTATAGTATAGTTGGATAATTCGGGTGTCGATCACAGGGTACGAAATTCTAATTAATAAAATAACTAATAATAATTAACTAAATAAAAAAAGTAAATTGAGGGTTTTTACTGATTTCGCAAGTTCAGCTAACTTAAATCAAACAAATAACGACTAAGCAAACAAAGAAAACAGTTTTTACTTAAAATATTAAAGAGTACTCCTGTTAGTTCCTAATTCCCTTTCCCCCATGGTTGATTTCTACTAGACAATATATATTGGCCTCCAATTAATTAATACTAGTTACTGTGATTTAGAATTCTAGTGCTTCTCAATTTATGAAGTACTATGCAATGATCAAACACAAGTTGAACACAAAACTGATATAAAGATAAATCGGACTATGAATGATGAAATTAGGAACTACTAATCCATGATCAAGATAGCAATTCAAGCACATAATATGGATAATTAATGCTCTCTAACACAACCAAAGTTATTAACTTTATTTGCCTAACTCTATGATTTGTTCAATCACAAGATCTAATTATTTAATGATCATAAACAACCAGAAATCAAATTCATACAACAAGAATGATCATCTACTACACATAACTTGAATGAAAGGTACTAAAGACTAAAACTTTAACATGCTAGGGTTATAATTCATCAAACACAAGAAAAAGCCAAATAAATTGTCATAAAAGCATTAAATCAACACATAGATTCAATGTTCATCATCCCTAACAGAGGTTTACGATTATTAGCCCATAACTAAATCAGATAAACATGTAAAAACGAAATTCAACTTGTAATACATGATCAAACACAAGAAGAATAAGTAAATATAAAAAAAAAATATTGCCTCAAAATCTCCCAAAATCGAGCTTTTAATCAATCTCTGCACTTCAAAACTTCTAAATAACATCTGATGATGTGCCTAGCGAGCACGGAAGAATCGCGCCCAACCACGATAGAAAATGATGACGTGCCTCAGCGAGCACGGAAGAATCGTGCCCGACCACAGCAGGAAACGCCCCAAGGCGTAGCGTGCCCGACCGGCCAAACCCAACAGAATCTTGTGCCCGCCAAGCGTCCCTAAGAGTAGGGTGCTCTCAAAAAGGCTCGGCCAGGTCGCCTTTCGCTCCGGGACAAACACAACGGTCAGGCGATAAAGCAGATGCTCATAGCATTATCGCCGCAACCAATCGTTGGCCCTGACAGACTTAGGAGCACGATCCACCAATCAGCGTCCCCGATCCTGTCGGGTCTGACGCCCTTGTCTCGTACGGACCAATAGGGGAGTTTGGTATAAAAGGATAACCTCGATGCCTTGAGAAGTAAGTGATTCTCTACCAGTTTACTCCTCACTCCACCCTAGAAAACTCCCACTGACTTGACCGTCAGAGTGTTTTTCTGGGAGCCCCTCCCGGAGAACGGCTGAAGGCCTCTTTCTTATTGTGACCTCGCAGGTTCACCGAAGTCATAGCCCGGAAGTTATAGAGCTGATTTCCAGGTCACATCATTTGGCGTCATCCGTCGTGTGATGAAAAACAAACCAAAAACACACCACTCATCATAAAACAAAAATGGCATCCTATGATATGGGAGGAGCCGGTGGAATGCCAACCAGCTCCATTCGGTCTATGGCGTCCCTGGAGCAAACTCCTACTCCGCCTCCTGCAATAATCGTCGGAGAAACACTAAACGAGGAAGGTTCAGTAGTAGTTGTCGTACCACTGGCCGAACAAGAACGACCAGCTAACGAGGGACAGCCCTCCTCCGCCGCTGTGTCGTCAACAAGCGCTCTGACACAGACACCCCATCTTCCAATAGCGCAAACCGGTGCGGTGTCGTCGGCGGTGGGTGTCACACCCCCAAACCGAAACGGCGGAAACGTTCGGGGGCGGAGGACGTCATGTATAGTATCACAACAATTGAATAATAGTAATCAAAGCAACAACAACCATTGTATTAATAGTATAAATGTTTACATTGTATTTGAATCATGTATAACTGACTCCAAAAGTAAATAGCAAGTAAAGACTTGAAGATACTATGCTCCATCTTCTAGAATCCGGTGCGTGTACCTGTCTACTAGTGTCCTGAGAATACAAGTAGGTTTTGAAAGAGTATCAGCATTAAAGCTGGTGAGTTCATAAGCGTTTATTTTAGAAAACAAGTTCTTTGTTTTTTGTAAAACGTTGTGTGTTTCTCCAGAAAATCCTATATTTCCTGATGTGATAAATGATAAGTCAAATGGTTCGTACCCGTTCCTTCTACGAGTACTTAGTGTATACAAGTCATATACAATCTAGATCGAACAAACAATCGATTGTGTGGTTCTGCCCCAAGCCCACAACCAAACAAGGAACAGGAAATGAGGCGGAGGCTACACATCCCACTGGCTGTCGGATCCTCATGTTTATAACCCGGACGTATTCACTAGGTCCTTACAGAGTTAACTGTATTAGTCCTTTGAAATCTGTTGAAAGTGTTCCTAAAGAAAATCCTATAATTTCTGCAAAGGTGTTTTTATATCTCAAAATAGTATGATGCACATGTATATGGATAAAGACTCTGTTATTTGTAATTCCCTGGTAACACCAGTTGTTTGTAAAAATACCTTGTTGTAGTTTATTACATTGTTGTAGTTTTATTTATAATAAAACTAAGTGAAGTTGTTTACCATTCATACATTAATCATTTTATTTAGTACCAAATTTATGAGTTGTTATAACCATACTTGACCATTGAATTGCCTGAACGACGTTCTTCAGGCGTCGGAATCGAGATGACTTTGTCACCCCGGTGACTGTAGCTAAGAGTCAGGGTGCGGGATTGTTGGTCCCGTATAGATCTATACACAAACTCACGTTTTCCCTCCAGGAGACTCTGGTTATAATCTCAGGACTTTTGTTAGTACTTAGATAAGTACGCGAAGAATGCTCACTCATAAAATGTTATACCGACGATTAAGTGTAGAATAAAATGAATCCTTTGAATTTAAACGACTATTTGTTTACATGATCCATAAACTATACCTATTATAGTTTATATGTTTATTCGCATTGTATCTATGTTTCGTGCATTGATAATGTATTTGTTCCATAAACTATACCTATTATAGTTTATATGTTTATTCTCATTATATCTATGTTTCGTGCATTGATAATGTATTTGTTCCATAAACTATACCTATTATAGTTTATAAAAATGATCCATTGGAAATGTGATTATTCTAAAACGTTTTCCTTCGCTCAGCATATTACAAAGGAATAAAATATTGAACTCGTGTTTATATAAATAACAATATTTATATATAAAAGTATGTTATTGTAAGAATGATGGTTGCAACTGTTTAAAATAGTTTATCGTCATTTGAAATTGTTTGTAACCGTTGAAATCGTTGAAGACGTTTGAAATCATTTGAATGTTCACACAAATTTAATTGTGTTGTACTTGTATTCCCCCCCCCCCCCTAAAAACATTGAATTTTTTTTTTGAAAACGTAGGGGTATGAACTCACCTTAAAAGTGCGTTAACTGGAAGTAGTGTGTTGTAGAGACGATCCCATGGTAAGCGTACACGCTAATGACGTTACCCTAAAATAATTGTATTCGTCGTCGTAATTAAATTAATAATAATATTAATTTAAATAATGTATTAAATAATAATTTAATTATAGGGATGTTTCAGGTGTAAACACACACACACACACACATATATATATATATATATATATATATATATATATATATGGGATGTTTACGGTTGAAATGACATTGGGCCTAAGGTGTTTACGGTTGATTAATGGGCTTAATTTGGGTTTTTAGCCCAAAAAGAGGGTGTTCTCGGTCAAGTTTGACCGTGAACTCATTGTTTTCACTTTGATTAGGCCGTAAACACCCTTGATTACATAAGGTTGGACCGTGAACACTCTTTCCTTCATGAATTCTTGGCCGTAAACTCCATTTGGATTTAATTCTAGCCTTTAATGCACTGATTCTTGGTGAAAACTCAATTAATGGGGGTTATTTATGTTTTAACCCCTTAGTCTTTCACCTTAATTTCATTTATAACACCCTAGTTTAGATGAAGTTTCAATTCACACCTCTTTGTTAACTTCTTAAACAAACCTTTAGGCTATAGATGATAAAATGCAACAAGGATTGCACTGTGGTTTCGCTTGTACTAGGTTAGGGTTTAGGCTTTGTTGGGTCTAAAAATTATGTGTTGTGACGGTGGGAGACCTCAACGTCACACCAATGCTCTTCCAACAATCATCAACGCATCAGACGGCAGTTGCACAACCGATGGTTTTCCAGACACCACCACCGTTAAACCAGATGGCAGCTGTGCAACCGGTGGTTTTCCAAACAACACCACCACCAAACCAAACGATAGGGGCGCAACCCATGATTTTCTCGCCACCAACAACATAGATGGCGGGGGAAGTACCAGTGGCTCTCCAAATGTCACCGTTAGATCAGTCGGCGAGAAACCAAACGATGGCTTTTCCGACACCCCCATTTCCAGCGAATACCTCTTTTTCCTCTATGATCTCGCATTATCAACAGGTCGCACCTAACAACCTCCATACACAAAGCTCGCCCATATTTCCCACCCATATGTTAACCCTACCATTTCCACACCAAGCATTTTATGGGTCAAACCCTACCCACTACTCACCCTATAACATCACGATTATGCATCCATATACCACGGCTCCGCAATACAACTCACATGGTGCTTTTCCTATCCCAAACCAAGAATGCCTATCACGCAGCGTGGCATCTCCATTTGCCAATGAGCTTCTAGATTACGAAATCCCAAACACAACCAAACTGCCACTCCTAAAAACCTATAACGGAACCATAGACCCCGACATCCATATCGATACGTACGAGTGGACGATGACATCGCTTAAGCTGGATGAGTGATTCTGGTGTACGTATTTCCCGACCACCCTGGACGGCAACGCAGGAACGTGGTTCAAAACGTTGAGACCAGGAAGTATATACAACTTCGGGCAGCTAAAGTATCTCTTCATGACAAACTTCATGCAGTGGAGGAAGTACAAAGGGGATTCACACTCAATCATCGGCTGCAAACAGAAACACGGAGAAACCGTTAGGGAATATTTCACCAGGTTCACCAACGCCACGTCGGATGTCCCGGGCCACGGCGAAGGCTTAATAGCTGGCGCCTTCACATGGGGTCTCCTGCCAGACCCTTTGTCTCAAAAGCTCATGAGGAAGAAGCCACAAACACGGGCAGAGCTAAAAGAGAAGGTGGAACGCTATCTAAGATAGGAAGAAGGGAAAGCACCGAAACAAGCATACCTAAATGCCATGACCACCTCGACCACGAAACGCCACAGCTCGCCACCTCATCCAGAAACCCAAAGCGGAAGCAGACACCTTGGGCGACGGAGACGTCTACAGGGGCGCTTTAGGCCGTTCCCAAGGGACGAGAGACGTGGCAGACAGCCGGACGTCTATGCGGTCTCCGACAAACAGCCAACAAAAAGAGTGAAAGGGTGATTTTGTGAATACCACAAAATCAAAACCCATGACACCGTTAATTGCTCGATGCTAAAACGGGAGATGGACGGAAAGAAACTCAAAGGAAACCTCATCGAAGTAGCACGCAGTCTTCGAGCCAAATTCGACGCCGAGAATGCCAAAGACGCAACGAGAGAGCGCAACCAACCCCAAGAAGTCCTGATGATACGATCCAAGCGGGAAAGGCAATAGGAACATGATGACGTAAACGGTCTCACCAGGTCAATGCACGGGCTCACGTTTTCGGTAAAAGACCCTCGTCCAAAGGGTTGGAGGGGCGATGACTCACTCGTAATCCAAGGGTCCATCAAGAACATAACGATTCACGGGGTATACATCCACATAGGCAGCTCGACGGACATTATCTACGAACATTGCTTCCTCCACCTCCCCGACAGATGGAAGGAGAATATCAAACCTACCACGGGAAGACTGATCGGCTTCATGGGCCACAGCCTATGGCCCTTGGGCACGATTCACCTGCCTTTCACATTGACCAGTCACGACAAAGCAACAAGAAAGACAACCCTAGTAGACTTCGTGGTGCTAAGACACCCGACGGAACACAATATTATCTTAGGAAGGACAACCCTACTCAAATTCGGGGCGGTCCCGTCAACAATGCACGAAATTATTAAATTCAGCACAACTGAAAGAATTACAATGTTATGAGATCATGCAACCGACAAATATGGTGCAAGAAAACAAGAAGTCGCGCGTCGAGCCAACGAGCGACAAAGAAATCATCAACAAAGAATACCCAAATCAATTGGTCAATGTCGACAACAATCTTCCCCCGGCCACAAGGCAAGCGCTGATCAGCCTCCTAAAAAAATACATGCATGTTTTCGCTTGGAATCCCACAAACATGGTAGGGGTAGACAGGAAAGTCATAGAACACGGGCTCATGATCAAGCCAGGAACGAAAGAAACCAAATAGAAGAAAGGGGTGCAAGGAAGTGACCGGAACAGGGCAATCAATGCTGAGGTCGCCAAGCTGACGAATGCAAGAATTTTAAGAGAATCGATTTTTCCAACCTGGATTGCCAATCATGTCATGGTAAGGAAGCACGATGGCTCCTGGCGCATGTGCATCGATTATTCTGACTTGAATAAAGCATGCCCCAAAGATTGCTATCCCCTGCCGGAAATCGACCAAAATGTGGAATCCTTACAAGGTTTCAAGTTGAAATGTTTCCTGGACGCGTACAAAGGGTACCATCAGATCCTGATGAGCAAAGAAGATGAGGAGAAGACGGCCTTCTACACAGATCATGGGGCTTTCTGTTACACCAAAATGCCGTTCGGCCTGAAAAGCGCAGGGGCAACTTATCAACGGCTAGTCGACTCCATCTTCGCCAAGCAAATCGGAAGAAACATTGAAATCTATGTCGATGATATGGTCATCAAAAGCCCCGATGAGAAGAAGCTGCTAGACGATATGGAGGAAACCTTCAAGACACTGGAGAAAGTAAAGATGAAGTTGAATCCAAGCAAGTGCACGATATGGCGTAGAGGAGGGACGGTTCCTGGGATATTACATCACTAGGAGATGAATACAGCCAAGCCCGGCCAAAGTCGACGAATTCATGGAAGCGCCATCTCCAAATACCCTGCGGGACTCCCAGGGACTGAACGGTAAGCTGACAGCGTTTAGCCGCTTCATCTCCAAGTCAGCAGAGAAAGCTTTGCCGCTCTTTCGTACACTCAAGGGGTGCATTGAGAAGAGAAACTTCCAGTGGACGGCGGCAACAGAAGTAACGCTCCAGCAGATCAAAAATGCCCTGCACGAGCTACCCATGCTAGCCAGCCATATCCCAGGCGAAAAACTGCAAGTATACCTCTCAGCCTCACAGGAGGCCATATCCTCGGTCCTGGTAGTGGAAAGGGAGGGCAGGCAGGCGCCAGTTTACTACGTCAGCCGTGCATTAGAGGGTCCCGATATCAATTATCCCATACTCGAAAAGCTGGTGCTCGCGCTCATCTACGCAGCGCGATAACTGGGGCGCTATTTTCAGGCACACCAGATAGAGGTGCTAACAAACCACCCGATCAAGCAAATACTGATCAAACCAGAGACGTCCGGACGGCTAGCAGAATGGGCAATCGAATTAGGTGAGCATGATTTCAGCTACCGTCCATGTACCAACATCAAAGGCCAAGCATTGGCAGATTTCTTGCTCGAAATCCCAGACGAAGGAAAGAATACCGTTCAGGCAAAGAAAGGGTCAGGGGTGGACGAATCTAAAGACGATCAGAGATGGACTTTGTATACGGACGAAGCAGCTAGCAAGGAGGGCTCTGACCAGCCCGGAAGGGGAAGAAATCACTTATGCTCTTCGTTTTGACTTTCACACCTCCAACAACGAAGCAGAATCTGAAGCCTTACTCGCTGGCCTACGATTGG